AATATAAATCGAAATTTTCAATTCATTAGAAGAAAATTCTCTTCATAGAATAGAAAAGGGGAAAATGTCGTACGCGTTTCATGTTATTCCATATTTTTTGTTTTTTCTTCTTATTTCTTTTTTTTTCAATCCAAAAAATGTAACGAGGTTGAATTCCACCTTCTTCATGATTCATTGTAGAGCTTGTTACATTTACTTTAACAGAATTATATTTCTTAGTGAAGTTGTTTTCTCTTCTATTTTTTCCATTCTCTTTCTTTTCTTTTTTGTTAATTCGTCGGGCGTAAAAGTTTCGATTAAAAATTCACAGAAAATTGTTTTTCCTGATATATACTCGATAACATACGGATAAAGGACGTGATAAAAACAACCGTTTAAGCCACCCAAGAATATTTTTTTTCTGTTTGTTACTTCATTCACAAGAATAATTGTTTGATAATTTTATTACTTTTTCTATAAAGGATATCCAGGAGAATCGTCGATAATTGCTTTTAAAAAGCAATTATTAATTTCTTAAAAATACTAAATATCGAAACTTTCTAGTGCAATTAATTAAGATTTAAGAATATCTATAAATTAAGAAAAGAGATGTATTTAATTATATATGCTTTTTTTTTTAAGAAAAAGAAAAGAAAAAAGAAGAATTTAAGCGATAGAATTTTACGATGATACTCCAAGATATCTTTTCATTTTTATCAATAAATATATATATAAATATATAAATAAATATATATATATTTATATATATTTATATATATATATATATTTATATATATTTATTCATATATAATGTAAAAAGCTTTTTGTTAAGATTATGCTGAGATTTCAGAATAAAATATGACAAATATCCTAACAATAAAAATATAACGATATTAATACATTGAACTTTTGGAACAGGCGTTACATTGTCCCTCGAAACATTTTTTCTGACAACGAGATGTATCAGACATTTTCCTGTTACATCGTATATAATACATATGATGATAAACATAAAATAATATTAATAATAAAATAGACATGTAAAAATCCAAAATTTTACAATCCCAAAGTGACGTGGAAACAAGGGGAATATAAGTTCGCAATGACAAGAATAGAAGAAAAAAACAAACAGTTATAATTTTCGACTTTATATGAAGTTATTTAATACATAGCAATTCATGTTAATTATTTCTTTTTTTTGTTTCCTTCCTTTAATTGATATAATTAGTTTTCTGTATTAAACGTGCTTGGAGTCTTGCTTCGTTCTGAGATTATACGCTTATGAATTCGTGTAAAATTTGAAAAATAACTAGCTTATCAGTCATTGAAGTGTGCACATCAATGAGAAGTTCATTGTTCATTCTTTTTATCCGTACCTTTCAATTTTGGATATGCACATATTTATTTAGTTTGGATAAGTATACAGCATCACTTTTATTTAAGTATCACGTGCAAAGGATTCTTTTGATTAACCACACATTCCACAAAAAACTGAACTTTTCTCTTTTCAGGCATTTCGCGTTAAGGCAATTAGTATACTTTTTTTTTTTACATATCGTTGCTTCACTATTTTATATATTGTTTCCAACTCGTACATCACAAGGGAAACACAAGAAATTATTAGAAATATTCGAAAATAGATTCGATAAACGAATTACATATTTAAATAGAAGATATAAATTATAATTGAATGAAAGATTCAAGGAAAATAAAAAAGAACGAAACGTATGATATTTTTAATACCTTTGGTTATTTGTAACGTCATAAGTAACTCGGTTTTGAATTTACCATCGAGAATGCCAGAACACGCGAAAGCATAAGACAAAAAAATTAAATCACACGCTACATATTTTGCATAACTTTTTACAAGTTTATATGTATATATGTATATGTATAATTTTACTTCATTTTCATCCACATCTTGCAGATACACCCACAAATCAAATAACATAAGATCAGAAAGTAATACAAGGGAAATTAATTACAATATGAAATATACATAAATGATAAACGAGAAATATAGGCAAAAATTAAAAAAAAAGGGGGGAAGGAGGGAGCAGTAAAAGTTAAACATAATTGAAAAATAATTATTGCTCGTTTGTACGAGCGTTTTCAGGTTCTACTTTCAGTAGAATCTTCACAAGTTTCGAATGCATTTGCGTGCGTCATACGCACATATTACATACATGCATTGTTTTCGATAAATTCTATGTAAAAGAAATATTAACTATACTTTTAACTATCTTTCAATTCGAAGAAACAGAATACAAACATTCCTCAATTTTTCTTCGATACATCGTATAATTCTCATATATACCAAATCAATAAAGTCTCTATTATCGAAAAAAAAAAAAAGCGAACACACATACAAATATTATTTCGTTTCACATTATAAAATGGAGCGATTATAGATACATAAATGAACATTTAAAAAAAATTCATATAATATTTTTAAAACATGTTTAGTGCAATGTATGGAGAAATTCAAAACAATAACAAAAAAAAGTTCATAACAAATATTATAAATAAATACGATTGATTTTAATAGAAAAAATGATTCAAGATTTATTTAATTAACATTTTAGCACCCAGTTTAATCCCTCCATTTTAAAATTTTAATTTCTAAGCAATTGAAATATATCAAGGAATGGTCCGCCAACTTAATTTTTACTTTAATTATTGATTCTGAAATAATTTAAACCTCGATAATTGATTACTTAAAACTTTTTTAACAAAATGTTAATGCATATAAATTTTCATGATACCATAAATTATAGATTAAAATTGTTAATATTTTCTTTAAAATAATTGTCTGATGATTAAGATACGTTAAATATAAACGGACCAACCCAGATAAATTTATAAATCTTTTATCATTAAACATATTTCAAAGATATATATGACAATAATAACTAATTTTTAAGAAATGTATTTAATATTTAACGACCAAAAAAATTTTACCAGTTTAAATTAAACACAATTAAACTGGTGCGTATGACGGGCAGTGCGTCTTGTGAATTGTTAAAGTTTCTACATTCTCGAGGTTTTACGTGTTAAATAAAACTGAGTATTTTATCAATCTAATTCTGTTCTAACAAACCCATACAACCACCAAACATAAAACGCTAATATAATTATATTATTATTATTTTTACCTGCCCGTCTCTAGCCTCGATTAAGTTATTGTAAGTGAATATAATATCGATGTAGAACGTGGCAAGACTCGCTGAAGAGCGTGTACGAAGAGCAGAGATTGAGAAAGTTCCATAAATAACGGTTAATAAACGTTATATGAAGATTCTAATTAAACATTTCTAATTAACAATTATAAAGAACCAAAATAATATTAAAATTATTATAGATAAAAAAAAGTTCTGATTTTTATCGGTTCTGATTATAATGCTGCATTCTCTTATTACATCAAATTTGTAAAAGTTAGGTTTCTATCATTTTGTTTTTCAATTTTTTTTCATTTTTTTTATATGGAACAAGAAAAAATTTTGATTTGCATTAAATAAAGAAATTCAACAATAAAAAAAAATGTTTTGTAACTTGTAAACAAATTCTGAAGAATAACTGTTAAAATAAATAGACCAAGAGTGAAATTCAGATATATTCTTGAGCAATTGATAAACAGTTTTGATTTGAAATCTATAGAAATAAATATTTTGGTATAAAAAAATATTCTATATCATTTTGTTAAAAGGACAAATAATCAATAATTATAATTGTTATAAAATTAATATTTAACTGATATATTATAAAAATTAATAATGTTAACAATATCTTAAATTAGTACTAAATTAATGTTCAATCAATTCAAAATTGATATATAATTAATGTATTTTTAGAAACGTACAGAATTGATACATAACTGATTTATAAAACATAACAAATTCCAGAAATGTATCCATAACCGATATAGGTCCTGCACCCTCAGAACTTTCTTCACCTACAACTGTTACATTATGTCGGTTCTTACAACTGTTTCGAGAATCCGAACTCATATTATAACCATTTTCAACCTCTGGCGAGGAGTGTATATGACTGCAAGAAGTGAGTTATTTACATTATTTGCATATGTCGGCGAATCAGCCCTTGCCCTTGTTCCATGTCACATAACGACAAAAGATGGCGAGATTAGAGTTTTGAGAAGTGATAAGATAGGGAGGGTGAGGAGGAGGGCATTTGAATAATTATTAATATATAATATTATAATAATAACAATAATGATGAGGTGTTCTAAACAGTGCTAGGACTAGTGCTAGAGGGTCCTGTGAGGAATCAGGGTGGATGGGTACGGGCTAAGGAAGGGTTAGTGTGGGGGCGGAGGTTCCGTAGATTGGTTTCTGCCATCTACAGCTCTAACCGGCTTCCTACGTGAAGGACCTGTTACGCCAACTGGACCAACTCCACCTCTAAGGTACGCTGGCGCTGGAGTTACTATCGGTTCTCTGATAGTTCTACTATATGGTAGTGATAGTGGTTCCTGCAATACCTATATAATAAGATACAAGTGCTAAATTATATTTATCATATTTCATTAATACAAATTGTAAAATTAATTATATGCTTAATATTATATATTTAATTTATTTATATTTATTATTTATACTTACCAATGATTCAGGTAATACACTATGCATCAGTGTTTGAACCATAGGTGTATTTTGTAATGCAAGGTTATTAGAATTTGGAGGCAATCCTTGACTTTGAAGACCTGTCCCTACACTACCAGCAGTAGTCTGAACAGTATGTGATTGTTGCGTAGATGTCTGCGTTACATGTTTATTCATTGTTTGATCCCTTTTCGCTTCTTGAGTTACATTTAATTTCTTTGTAGAAATTGTGGAAGAATTAGCATTTGGTGTTTCGGGACTGTTTGTAGCAGTAGTTGCACTTGATACTGGTGTTTGTGCTACAGATTGTTCCTGTGTTAATTCCGGCAATGTTTGACAAAGCGTTCCAAGAATAAGTTCGCACGTAAAAAGACTTCTATTTGCACTTTCACGTTCAATATTTTGCAACTGTGAGTCAGAGAGAGAACTGGTAATACATCTATAACAAGAAAAAAAATATTTATATATAGAATTAATTATATTTAATATAATAGTTAAGTAAAATTCTGAATAAACACAAAATTATTATCTTTTGAAAACTAAAAAAAGATGTATCTGTTTCATTTGCCATATTTTTATGGAATTATCTTAAATGTTTTTTCATCCCACGCGTTGATCATGACATGCAGTTTTGCAAATTTAGATAAAAGATTTTTAAGATTATACATGCGCGGTTGTGATGCGCAAAAATATATTTATAAAGATACTTAAATATCAAATAATAATTTGGATGTTTTCTTTGTCTAAATATATTATTGTATATACTAATATTAGAATATAATACATACTTTGGCAATAGAAACATATAGTTTTGTGAACTGGTAGATGATACGCCGGACGGGTTCGCCACATTATTTGTATTATTGTTACTAGTCGTACTATTTGCTACCACATTGGTCATAGTAGTAGAATGACCACTTCCACTAATAATTCCTCCACAACTTGCAGAACCAAGAACTTGAGTCTGCCTCCTAGGTAACCGCTCCAATTGTTGTCTAGCAGCCTAGTAAAAAGTATTTATTTTGTATTTATAAAAATTTATATTTTTATCTTAAAAAAATTGCTTTGATAAAATTATTTATTAAAATCATTTCATTGAAAAATTTTTTTGTACATATTAAATTATACATACTCTAACTTGTTGTCGTTCTAACTGTAGCTGCATTTGCAATTGATGTAATTGCGTTGGTGCTGACGAACTCTGACCAGTTCCTCCACCACTTCTACGAACACCGGATAATTGAGAAAGTAATTCTGTAATTGGATCTATACCTTCTCGACTACTCGGACTCAATCCTCCAGACGAACTGAAATGCATATTGGACCTGCAGGTCCAATGATACGCCAATGAACATTATCTAAGATGAGATGATGATGAACTGAAGCTGAAACCTTGCTATTTTTTAGTGCTATTTTTTAGTTCTTCTTAGATATTTTAAAAATAAAAACATATTTTGCTTCAACAGTTATTATATAATATATAATAATTGTTTTACTATTTTAATAAATAAGTAATGACAATGATTGATAAATTATAATATTAATGTATAATAATGTATAATAAAAAAAGTGATACTCAAAAAAAATACATGCATCAATATATTAAAGAATTGATATACTGATATAGTTCATGATAATTAATATTAGTAAAATTAAAAAAAATAATTAATAAATTAGTAATCATATTTAACAAAAAATAATTCTTTCCAATTTCATTTGATTATAATACTCCCAATATTATCACAATATATATATATATATATATATATATATATATATATATATATATATAATAATAATAA